AGGCTGGTCTTGAACTCCCAACCACAAGTGAGGTCTAGGGCAGAGGCAAACTGCTGCCAGTCTCTTTGCTAAAACATAACAAGAGTCACCTTTGCTCTAGTTCCCAACAAGTTCCTCATTTCCATCTGAGACCACCTCAGCCTGGACTTTATTGTCCATAACACTATCAGCATTTTGGTCAAAGCCATTCAACAAGTCTCTAGGGTATGCCAAACTTTCCCAAATTTTCCAGTCTTCTGAGCCCTCCAAACTGTTCCAACCTCTGCCTGTTACCCAGTTCCAAAGTTGCATCCACATTTTTGGTTATCTACAGCAGCATCCCACTCTGATAATACCAATTTAATGTATTAGTCCATTTTCACGATGCTGACAAAGACATACCTAAGACTGAGAAGAAAAAGAGGTTTAATGGACTTACAGTTCCACATGGCTGAGGAAGCCTCACAGTCATGGTGGAAGGCAAGGAGGAACAAGTCACATCTCACGTGGATGGTTGCCCGCAAAAAAGAGCTTGTGCAGGAAAACTCTCGTTTTTAAAACAATCAGATCACAGCCGGGCGCAGTGGCTCACGCCTGTAATCCCAGCACTTTGGGAGGCCAAGGTGGGCAGATCACGAGGTCAGGAATTTGAGACCAGCCTGACCAACATGGTGAAACCCCATGTCTAAAAATACAAAAATTAGCTGGGTGTGGTGGCAGGTGCCTGTAATCCCAGCTACTCAGCAGACTGAGGCGGGAGAATCGCTTGAATCTGGGAGGCAGAGGTTTCAGTGAGCCGAGATCGCACCATTGCACTCCAGCCTGGGTGAAAGAGTGAGACTCCTTCTCAAAATAATAATAATAATAATAGTAAACAAAACCATCAGATCTCATGACTCACTCACTATCACAAGAACAGCGCTGGAAATCCCCAACTCATAATTCAATCACATCCTATTGGGTTCCTCCCATGACATGTCAGAAGAGTTAAAATTTAAGATGAGATTTGGGTGGGGACACAGCCAAAGCGTATCAATGCTGTCAAGCAAAGCTGAGAGATTTAGTTGGTAAATAAACAACAAGCCCTTTTTAGAGTTAGGCAGTTTGGAAAAGACAGCAATAGCAAGATTGGCAAAGGTGCCATTTCCCTGTGTCCATTGTCCCACCAGACAACACCAAAATAAAAGAGGCCAAATGATAATGCAACATGGGTGATGGGAGCTCTGTTTCTGCAGAGCCAATTTCACACTGAGTAGTTTGATGAGATGCTGGGGGATGGGTGGGGACAGGTGTAGCCTCTTTGCCTAATTGTTCCTTAGCACTGCCTAAACGTTGCATAGGCTGCTGGCACCATTAAGATTTGAACTTTGGAGCATCTCTTTGATCACCCATGAGAAACCGTTACAATAGCTGCAATGCAGAAATACCCAAACCCTATGAACTCGAGTGTGGCTGGAGTTGATGTGTTGAACAGATGTATAGATCCCTGTGAAAAGTTGCACAGCCACAGACTTAGCACAGAGTGAGGACTACCTTCCATTGTGAAGTCTCTTATTGGTGCAGCAAAAAACAAAACATTGTTTAAGAACATTCTGTAGCGACAGGCACGGTGGCTCATGCTTGTAATCCCAGCCCTTTGGGAGGCCAAGGCGGGCAGATCATGAGGTCAGGAGTTCGAGACCAGCCTGACCAATACAGTGAAACCCCGACTCCACTAAAAATACAAAAATTAGCTGGGCGTGGTGGCAAGTGCCTGTAATCCCAGCTGCTTGGGAGTCTGAGGCAGGAGAGTCACTTGAACCCGGGAAGCAGAGGCTGCAGTGAGCCAAGATTGTGCCACTGCACTCTAGCCTGGCAACAGAGTTAGACACCATCTCAAAAAAAAAAAAAGAAGAAGAAGCCGGGGCGCGGTGGCTCACGACTGTAATCCCAGCACTTTGGGAGTGTTAAAATGCACGCTATGAATGAAGAGACCCACCCCAAGCAGGCTTTGTGTGAGCAACATGGCTGTTTATTCACCTTGGTGCAGGTGGGCTGAGGCAGAAAAGGGTGTCAGTGAAGGGCGGTGGGATAGAAGTTGGTTTTATAGGTTTGGGGTGGGCAGTGGAAAGTTACAGAAGTTACTTTAGGGTGGTTTTTTGTAAGCTGGGATGGTGTCATAGGTTTGCAAGCTGAGAGGGGGTCGTAGGGTGGGGAGTCAGGAGGTAGACCAAGGTCAGTTACAAAGTCCAATGACCTTATCAATTAGTGTGGGAATAAGGAACAATAGAGAATGTCTCAAAGTTAAGTAGGTGCCACAGGGGATGATCATTTCTTCAGTCTTCCAGTTACTTTAGATATTCTAGGAACTCATCTGGAGTGTCCGTGCAGGTCACAGAGGTTAACATGGTATCCATGGCATGTCAGTCAGCTGAAAAGATCTTACAGGGAGGCTGAGGCGGGCAGATCACCTGAGATTGAGAGTTCAAGACCAGCCTGATCAACACGGAGAAATCCCTGTCTCTACTTAAAAAAAAAATACAAAATTAGCCAGGTGTGGTGGCGCATGCCTGTAATCACAGCTACTTGGGAAGCTGAGGCAGGAGAATCGCTTGTACCTGGGAGACAGAGGTTGTGGTGAGCCAAGATCGCTCCATTGCACTCCAGCCTGGGCAACAAAATCGAAACTCCATCTCAAAAAAAAAAAAAAAGAAACCCTTCTATCTCACCATAACCTCTGAGGAAGACAGGGAGATGGGTGAGAAATGGCCTTGCAGTAGCTCCTCACAAGCCTCTCACTTTCTCATGTTCTGGGAGGATCATGGGGCAGTTTACCAAGATTTAGAATAACTGAGGTTAAGCCCTGTCTATGTGGCCTATATGGACACATGCAAGGTCATCAGGACATATCACAGAACAGTTTACTTCCACTTCCCTTTTTTTAAATTTATTTTTTTCTTTGAGAGGGAGTCTCTCTGTCACTCAGGCTAGAATGTAGTTGCACAATCTTGGCTCACTGCAACCTCCACCTCCCACATGCAAGTAATTCTCCTGCCTCAGCCTCCAGAAAAGCTGAGATTACAGGTATACACCACCATACCTGACTAATTTTTGTATTATTAGTAGAGATGGGGTTTTGCCATGTTGGTCAGGCTGGTTTTAAACTCCTGACCTGAGGCCCATGTCAGCCTCCCAAAGTGCTGTGATTACTGGCATGAGCAACCACGCCCCACCTGACCTTTTTTTTTTTTTTTCTTTCACAGCCAGTTAAGAACTCTTTTCCAAATACAGGCCACCCCACCATTAGATGCTTTAATTAAACAAACATATATATACACACATACATACATACATATATATATGTTTTGAGACAGAGTCTTGCTCTATAGCCCAGGTTGGAGTGCAGTGGTATGATCTCAACTCCCACAACCTCTGGCTCCCAAGTTCAAGTGCCAAGATTCTTGTACCTCAGCCTCCTAAGAGGCTGAGATTATAGGTGCGCACCACCGCTGCCAGCCAGTTTTTGTATTTTTAATAGTGACAAGTTTTCACCATGTTTGCCAGGCTGGTCTTGGACACCTGGCCTCAAGTGATTCACCTGCCTCAGCCTCCCAAAGTGCTGGGATTATAGGCATGACCCACCACGCCCAACCTTAAACAATTTTTTAGATCCAACAGTTAAATTTAAAGCAATTGCTATAGTCTGTGACTCAGATCAGATCAAGGTGAAGGAAATCAGATTAACATCCAGAAAACTGATCTTGTTCTGATGTGTATCCTGTTAACTCCTGGAGTTACTGGAGTTACCACTGCTGGGAGGATTTTGAGAATTCTAGATGAAGACTCCCTAATGGTCAGGCTGAAGGTGGCTAGGGCAGTCTGCATTAAAGTGGTCAGATGCCCGGCAGACAAGAGCTGAGAGAGATCAATGGTTCCTCCTCAGCATTTTTCTTCCTCAGCCGCCAAGGTTATTGCTGTCCTGCCACAGCCATGCTTGGCATGAGCAGTACCCCTGACAATTATGTCTTCCTTTACCAGTGGTCCCCATGTCTCACTCACACCATATGCCCAGATTTGTTCCTAGGTGGCTCAGCAGCTTCTTCCTAATATAACTGGAGCTACCCTAAAACATCTCCTACCGTGGACATGTGGGCCACACTAGGAGCACTTTAGAGTTATCTCATATTCATGATTCTTATCATTATCTATAACTGCCCCAATCCAGAAAGCTTAGCTGGACAGCAAAAGAAACTCTTTGTTAAGAGTCTCCCATTCTCTGGCCCTTCTTTTTTTTTTTTTTTTTTTT